TTTTTTGTTGCCATCTCTTTAAATGCCTTTATTTATTTATTTATTTATTTATTTTTAAATAAAAAATATATTTTATTGATTTTTGTACAGAGAGGAAGGGGGAGAGAGAGAGAGAGTTAGAAACATCGATATGAGAGAGTCATAGATCAGCTGCCTCTTGCACACCCCCTACTGGGGATATGCCCGCAACCAAGGCACATGCCCTTGACCGGAATCGAACCCGGGACCCTTCAGTCCCCAAGCCGACGCTCTATCCATTGAGCCAAACCGATCTTGGCTCTTTAAATGCCTTTTTGTTCTTTATTTCTATCTCCTCCTCCCAATAATTACACAACTTTCAATCCCAGTTAACAAAGTTTAAAGGACTAAGGGAAGGTTAGGGGATGTGCTAAATCACCATGGCATTGACTTTGTTAGTGAAATGAAGCTGATTTTTATTTTATTTTATTTACGTTTAAAAAACATTTTTATTGATTTTAGAGAGGGGGAGATAATCATTGATTGCCTGCCTCCTCTATGCCTCACACTGGGTATCCCCTCACTGGGTATCAAACCTGCAACCTGGCCATGCGCCTTGAGCCTTCTGATTCATAAGTCGATGCTCAAATGCAGAGCCATGCTGGCCAGTCTAAAACTACTTTTTAAAGCAGATACCTGTAACTGGTGCTTATTTAGATGTTAAAGGTGTTCTAGTTGATTTTGTCTGTCCCTAAACCAGGGCCTAGTTCCATCTATAGAATATTAAGTCACTGATGTATGTAACACTATTAGAGTTTCCTAACTGAAAGGTAGACAAGGAAACTGAACAACTTTCTTGCGAGATATTCTCAGTCTCAGATATCTTTAGTAATTTTTATAGTCTCCCCCAAATTTTTCATTACTGTATAATAGAACTGTTTAAGAAAATTTTGTTAGGATTAATGTGGATAGATTTTCTTATATTTGTATATTGTATAGGCCTGTGTTACTATGGGTAGGGTTTTTTGTAATATGTATCATACCTTAAACAAAATACTTAATTTTTTTTATTGTTAACTTGATTTTATTTTTCTAGTACTGCTTAGAAAATGCTAATTTCAACTTTGTTTCCAATTAATCAGGATACTAGCCAAAAATAGACTATAATTTTCAGGAACATTTGAGCACTCATTTTCATGGAAGACAGATAAAAATTGTTTAAAATTAAAAAGAGCTTTGTTTTTAACCTCTATAACATAAAGATTTTATTAGTTGCAGAAGGTTTTAGTGTTGTAACCAGCACTTGGTTTTGTTGGCAAGCTAGGTGATGCTAGGTGATTTTTTTTTCACCTGTTACATTTTTGTGACTTTGTCCAGAATCTTATAAATGTGCTGTGTCTTAATATGAGTACTCTATTAAAACATTTTCATGACTAGCTTTGCCATTTTAGGTAAATAATTTTGAATTTTAATATTAATTGAATGTGAGTTAGTGTGGGGCTGAGAGTTAAATATGAAAGAAGTAGAAGACCATATCTTCTTTATTTGTTCTTCACTTATTGAGCAAATCTCATCTGCCAGACATTATACTGAACTTGGGGGATGTAGAGATAAGACATTTATCTCTTACTAAGGAACATTCAAATTATCACTTAAAGTCTCTGGGGAAGTACAATCCCCCCCTAGGGGGCATGGAGAAGACAGCTGATCAATGCTTCATTCCCATCATTTGATAAATATTGTCGATGGAAACAAAATATTAATAACACAGGTAAGATATGAGGTGGCGTGAATTAGGTATTCTGAGATTGAGAAGGGAGGCGCTCATTCTTAAAGGAATAAAATTTTTCAATCAAGTAAATAAGGGTGGGAATGTGATAGCTATTGCCAGCTGAAAAACAGTACTTATAAGGGTATGACCAACTTGGAAATTTCCCTAGTGTTAATAATTATACTTATGCCCCAGAAAAATTATTAAATTGAATACTTATGGATTTAATTTGCAAGCTGAATGAGAATGTTTTGATTCCAGCTGTGGGCAAGGGCAGGGAGCAGGGGTCTTCTTCCTGATGGAGGTTGCAGGTGTATCAGACCAATACCTACACAAGGTTGGATATGATGACAAGATTACAAATATATCTTGTCCTTGCTAGGTCTTTTAATCTATAGGGTTCTTAAAAGGGAAAGAAGTCATCCTCATGGCAGAGGTCTTTTATTCTATTAGGACTCAAGAAAATACACTAGTGTGAGGCTTAGAAATAAACCTTATTTTAGTAGTTGCTAATATCCAATCATTGATTGGCTGCCTCCTGCATGCCCCCTGTCGTACGGCCCCTACTGGCGATTGAGGCCACTACCTGGGCCTATGCCCTTGACCGGATTCGAATCCAGGACCCTTCAGTCCACAGGTCGATGCTCTACCCACTGAACCAAACTGGCTACGGCCAAAATTCATTTTATCAAGTATGTTTCATTGTCTGTGATGGTCTACCAGTAACTTAGCCACAAATCTGGTCCAAGAAAGAACCCACTGTCCTGTTTAGAGTGTATAGATCAGGGGTGGGGAACCTTTTTTCTGCCAAGGGCCATTTGTATATTTATAACATTATTCAAGGGCCATACAAGATTATAAACTTAAATATTAGCCTGCTATATGTGGTCGAACATTTCATTAACCAACCCCTAATGCCTTGGTGGGCTAGACCAAATGATTTCATGGGCCTTGTATGGCCTGGGCCAGACATTCCACACCCCTGGTATAGGTAATGAGAATCATATAAGAGGCGCTCTCATTTTGTCTGACTATATAAATCTGTGATGGTATCCTGGTCTTTCTGTATTATTCAGCTGTGATAGACAAACAACCTTTATTTATTTAAATATTAGAGACCCAGTGCACGAATTTTGTGCACTGGGGTTAGGGGGGAATCCCTCAGCTTGGCCTGTGCCCTCTTGAAGTCTGGGAGCCTTTGGGGGATGTCTGACTGACATCCTTAGCACTGCCACAGAGGTGGGAGAGGCTCACCAACTGTGGGAGTGCACTGACCACCAGGGGGAAGCTCCTGAGTTAAGTGCCCGCCCCCTGATGGTCAGTGCATGTCATAGCGACCATTCATTCTGCTGTTCAGTCAATTTGCATATTATCTTTTTATATTATAGGATATTTAAATATATATATATATATATATATATATATATATATATATATATATATATTGATTTTTTACAGAGAGGAAGGGAGAGGGATATAGAGTTAGAAACATTGATGATAAACATCAATCAGCTACCTCTTGCACACCCCCTAATGGGGATGTGCCCAGAACCAAGGTACATGCCCTTGACCACAATTGAACCTGGGACCCTTCAGTTTGCAGGCCAACACTCTATCTACTGAGCCAAACTGGCCAGAGCTATAGGATATTTTTTTAAACTTATTTCAGAGAGGAAGGGAGAGGAAGAGATAGAAACATCAGTAATGAGAAATAATAATTGGCTGTCTGCCTCCTCCAAGCCCCCTTATTGGGGATCAAACCCATACTCCGAACCACCAACCTGGGGATTATACTGTGACCTGGTTCATAGGTTGATGTTCAACCTTTGAACCACACTGGCCAGGTTGGCAGACAACCTCTAGGGAGTTAAAGATAATCCTAATCTGGTTCCTGTGGTTTTCCTTTTCTTTTTCTTTTTTTTTTTTTGTTGTTGTTAATCCTCACCTGAGGTTATTTTTTTCCATTGATTTTTAGAGAGTGGAATGGGGAGGGGGAGAGAGAGAAGGGGAAAAACATCTCGGTGAGAGGGATACATTGATTGGTTGCCTTGTCCCTGTGTCCCAACTGGGGTTGGGGATCTAACCTACAATCCAGGTATGTGCCCTTAACCAGTGACCCATAGGTATGTGGTCAGACACTCTTAACTACTGAGCAACATTGCTCAGGGCTTTCCTTTTTTTTTCATAAGTGCTGCGCTTCAAATATTTACACATCTATCCAGAATGTAGCCTTGAAAACAAAAACCTAGAGTAATTCTTTTTTTTTTTTAAATATATTTTATTGATTTTTTACAGAGAGGAAGGGAGAGAGACAGAGAGCTAGAAACGTCGATGAGAGAGAAACATCGACCGGCTGCCTCCTGCACACCCCCTACAGGGAATGTGCCTGCAACCAATGTACATGCCCCTGACCGGAATCGAACCCGGGACCTTTCAGTCCGCAGACCGACGCTCTACCACTGAGCCAAACCGGCTTTGGCTAGAGTAATTCTTTATAGTAATTAAAAAGTGATTCCTACTGAAGTAGAGAAATCCTAATCTAAGAGGTTCTTTTGTGGAGATTCTGTCATCAATTCAACAGTATTTACTAAATGCCCAATACGTGCCAGGCAGTGTTGTAGGTTTTGAGACTAGTGAGTAAAATCATCTTAAATACTTGCCTACAAGGAACTTACATTTCATTGGGCAAAATAGACAATAAGTATAATTATAAAGTGAATTATATAATATGTTAGAAGGGAGTAAATGCTATGGGGAAAAGATAGATGGTAACATGGGAGTATTGTGGTAAGGGTGTGGTAGTAATTTTAAATAGGGTGATCAGGGTAAACCTCACTGAGAGAGTAATATTTGAGCAAATACTTTAAAGGGATAACGGAATAAGTCACATGAATATCTGAGAAGAACATCCCAGATAGAGCAGCCAGTGCAGAATTTGTGACTTGCATTTGAGCGAGTTGTGACTGTGACTTAGTGAGTGTGAGCTAGGAGGCGACTATTAGAGATTGAAGGAAGAGAGGTTGTGAGCATTGAGGAGACTTTTTAGTCCTCTAGAACTTTGGCTTTTACACTATGTATATTTGAAAATAAACCCTATTAAGATCAAGTAGGATTTTTCTTTAGAGATCTGGGGTCAGGAGAGAAGGTAAGCAGTCAGAGAAGGAACTTCTAGTCTTAGGATAGCACATATTAATGTTATATCCTAGACATAAGTTTATAGCAAAACAAATAAGATTTTTGCTGATATTTTCTACTTTATTTTTGATTGTAGGGACTTTCAGTTACCTTGATGATGTCCCATTTAAGATAGGAGACAAATTCAAAACACCAGCTAAAGTTGGTCTACCTATTGGCTTCTCCCTGCCTGATTGTTTGCAGGTTGTCAGAGAAGTACAGGTAAGTGGTGATATTTAGTTAAAGTTTAGTGCATTTAAAAATTTAATGAGTAAGAATTTGATGTGCAGTGAAATGGAAAAAAAAACCCATTTTCATATCTGTATTTTTTATAGCTTGTTATTGCTTGGCTTACATTGTGTGTCTCACACACACACACACACACACACACACACACACACGTGTCTATATATCTATTACAGATCTTGTGTAATCTGTTAGATTGTATATTCCTGGAATTCTGTGCCTTGTCTAAAATGAATTCCCATTGCCTATTTTATTTATTTACTTCTTTTCCTTTTCTTTATTAATATCCTCATTATCTCTGTCACTAGAGTTAGATAACATTTCTCTCTCTGTTGTATCTCCCCATTACTGTCTAGTCTATTCATGTTCCCTCCAAACTAGGTTACTAGCAATTTGTTGAATATACTGTGTATATAAAATGCTTTTTTTCATGAGCTGTTACTTCCACTTGGGGTATTTTTCTCTTTCTCACCATACTAAAAACTGTTGCTCTTCTAGAATTGTGCTGAAATGCCATCTTCTCAAAACCTTTCTCAACCCTCTCATCTTTAAAGCTCAGTTATATATAAATGTATATATAGAATTCTTGAAAACAGCAAAGAGACCGATGTTATACGACTTCCTTTCTTCCTTCGGTACACATTTTGAATGCTTGCCTTTGAGTGGTGTCTGTGAGGCTGAGGATAGAGAGAAATGCCTTAATTACTGTCCTCAAGGAGCTACAGTTTAAGAATCAAGTGGAAAAACAGTCCACTGCTCATTCAAACACTTCTTCCTGTAACTTAAGATTTTTTAAAATATAATAGGTATACTTTTTTTTTCAAAGTTCTGTTCATGGGGGATTTAATAAGGCATTAGTATGTCATTCTAAAAAGGATTCTTTGTTGTATCTTTTAGTCTATATGCATTGAGTAATCATAGTGGGAATATTTCAGTTATATTTTTAAAAATAACAGCTTTACTAAGATATAATTTACATACCATAAAAATCACCCTTTTAAGGTGTGCACATAAGTGTTTTTTTGTATATTCAGAGTTGTGTAACCATTATTATGATCTAATTTCAGAACATTTTCATCACCCCCAAAAAACCCCAGTGCTCACGAACAGTAGTTACTCGCTATTTTCCCTTACCCCGCCCCAGCACCTCGCAAACACTGTTTACTTTCTGTCTCTATAAATTTGCCTGTTCTGGACATATCATATAAAATGGAATAATACAACATATAGCCTTTTATAACTGGCTTATTTCACCTAGCATAATGTTTTCAAGGTTTGTCCATATTGTATGAATGAAATATTAGTACTTCATTTATTTTTATAACTGAATAACTTCATTGTATCAATATCATATTTTATTCATCAGTTGATACATATTTTAGTGGGTTCTCCTTTTTGACTATTAGGAGTAATGCTGCTATGAACATTTGTATACAGGTTTTTGTGTGGACATAGGCTTTCAGTTTTCTTGGGTATATACCTAGGGGTGGAATTGCTGGGCCACATGGAAACTAACCTTTTGAGGAATTGGCAGACTTTTCCAAAATGGTTGAATTATTTTATAATCACACCCACACTGCATGAGGGTTTTAATCCCTCCATATCCTTGCCAGTTCTCATTATATTCTGTAATAGTCTCTTATTGTGGTTTTGATGTACATTTCCTTAATTACTAATGATATTGAGTATTTTATATATTTTTGAATACTGAATTGACTGATACTCCTTTTGTGTTTGGAGACTATTGGACCAGAAAGATATAGATTTCCCTTATAATGTTTTACCTTGTTTTGTTTGGTGACTTTTATTTGCAACAACAAGTATTTGGTAAATACCTCTCTGTGTGCAGAATACTATTAGCAATATAATTAAAAAACACCTCCATCCTTTTTTTTTTTAATAATTCTTTATTGTTTAAAGTATTACATATGTCTCCTTTTCCCCCTATTAACCTCTCCCCACCTGTTCCCACCCCCAGCACATGCCCTCACCCCTCTACTGTCTGTGTCCATGGGTTATGCTTATATGCATGCATACAAGTCCTTTAGTTGATCTTTTACCCCACCCCACCTTTGCTTTCCCTCTGAGGTTGGATGGTCTGATTCTTCTATGTCTCTGAATCTATTTTGTCCATCAGTTTATAATGTTCATTATATTCCACAAATGAGTGAGATCATGTGATATTTATCTTTCTCTGACTGGCTTATTTTGCTTAGCATAATGCTCTCCAGATCCATCCATGCTGTTGCAAATGGTAAGAGATCCTTCTTTTTTATAGCAGCTTAGTATTCCATTGTGTAGATGTGCCACAGTTTTTTAATCCACTCACTTGCTGATGGGCACTTTGGCTGTACACCTCCACTTTTATTCTCATATTATTCACCACTTCGTTGACAGATTCAGAAAACTTGTTTTGAATGCTGTGAATTTTCTGTTTGTTTGATCAGTGTTCACTATACTCATAACACCCAGTAGTAACAAAAAGGGAAATCTAGGCTCTGAGCTCTATTCCAGTATGGGCCAGCTGAAATTTTTTTGTTCTGTAATTGCAGATTATCATTAAATTTGGTCTGCATGGGGTCTCCATGGGGAATTTGGCTGTGGTATTGTTGCTGGATCCCTCCCAATACAGAGAAGAATCAGGCCTACAGTCATAGATGGCTAACTTGAAGTTTCCTATAACTTTGCCTTATTTGCTCTTATATGGTAGTACGAATTCCATTTTTCAATTGAAAATTCATCAAGAGAGCAAGTGGAAAGAACATATATAACCCTTGCCCCCAGGGTCCAGGTGGTAGTGGGAGCCACAGCAGTGGGGGGTGGTCCTTAGTGTAAAGGTTTAGAGTGGATTCTGGTGTCACTCAAGGGGCTGGAATTGCTGTGTCATCCTGTACAGATTGCTTAAACTCCCCAAGCCTTCATTTCCTCATCTGTAAAATGGGAATAATTAGCTTTTAAAGTTATTGTAAGAATTAAACAAAATAATGCACTTAAAATGCTTATTCTGGTTCCTAATATTCCATAATTTAAAAAAAATTTTTTTTTACTATTTATTATAGTACACTCAAACCACACTCTTATTTTTCACTGTAATATTCCTGTTATTTTTCCCCCCTGTATTTTTCTATGTTCTATATTACTTTAGTAATTAAAAACCAAAAGCTTGGTAAAGGTTTTATTAAAAAGGAAAGACATTTCTGGTTATTTTGGGGAATAAAACATCGGACACCTGTGTTCACAGGCATCAGAAAGTTGGTTACAGCCTCAGTTTTTGGTAGAGGAAACCACTTGCAAAATTGGATTTCCTCCACAGTTACAAGCAGCAGTCTTTGCCCAAGTGCTGTTTTCTTACTATGCTGTTAGTGATAGAAAGGAAGCACTGTAATCCCCAGGCGCCTTCCTGATGCCCAGCAGCTGGCTCAGGGGTGTAAGTTAACTTGATAGGCGCATTTCCAGGCTTCTTTTGTGTTTGAAGCTGAAAGGCTTGGAAATGACCAGAGTTTTCTTCTTCTCTTTTCTCTTCTTTCCCCTTCTTTCACTCTTAATGTGTCTCCAACGTGCACACAAGACATTAATTAGCTTTGGTGCTTTAGGGTGAGCATCGGAGGTTTTTTCTTCCTATTCCTGGAGAAAAAAATTATATGGATTTAGTTTCATATAATAGTATATTTTTTCAGGTGTGCAAATGACATTTTTATAAATTGAGCTGTATACTGTAAGGTATTGTTAAGAATCCATTAAGTAAATTCTTATGCAATTTACTCTGTAAAAATCTTAATTTGAATATGTCTAGATTTAATAAGCAGTTTTCCTGCACTTTGAGTACAATCTATTCATTATAAGTTGATTGTGGTTTAAGAAGCATAGAGTATTTAGTTAGATTGCCTGGATTCAAATCCAGGCTCTACCTCTTAACAGTTTTATTACCTGGGGCAGTGGTACCTTCTTTAAAGGGTTGTTGAGAAATCTAGAGTCATTACATAAACTCTGCTTCAAATCATGCATGGTACCTTGTAAGTGCTTCTTAAATGTTAGGGATTATCATCATCCAGCACATGATCTATTAGGACATTTGTGCTAGATAATAGAGACCTTAAGGCCTAAAGCCCAGTTTGCTGCCCATAAGAGACATGTGGCATTGCTGGGGAAGTGTTTAGAGCAAGGGTGAAATCATCTGGCCCGCAGGCCATATAAGGCCTGTGAAATCATTCGGTTGGTCTGGCCTTGCCAAGGCATTAATTAAATGTTTGACCAAATATAGCAGGCTGATTTAAAAAAAATATTATTTATTTATTTATTTTTTTACAGAGAGGAAGGGAGAGGGATAGAGAGCTAGAAACATTGATGAGAGAGAAACATTGATCAGCTGCCCCCTGCACACTCCTCACTGGGGATGTGCCCGCAACCAAGGTACATGTCCTTGACCGGAATCGAACCTGAGATCCTTCAGTCTACAGGCCAACACTCTATTCACTGAGCCAAGCCGGCCAGGGGAAGCAGGCTAATTTTTAAATTGATAATTTTGTATGGTCTGCGAATGATGTTACAAATATACAAATGGCACTGGGCAGAAAAAAGGCTCCTCATCCCTGGTTTAAAGAAAGATTAAAGCTATTGTGGTCACATGTGCTCTGCATCAAATGATAGAGACAGATCTTTGTAAAACTTCAGAGGAATAGGTCATCAGCAAAGCATCATAGAGGAGGCTGGCTGAGCTTTAAGCCACCAATGAAGAAATCTAGGAAGGGACATTGCCTGAGGGGAGAGAAGCGAGGGCATGTCACTGTAATTTTCGGCCTGGTGCATAGGACTGGAGGTGTGGGAGCTCTTTTTAGTTAATTTCTAGAAGTAATCTGGGAGCATACTTTGATTAAATCGTATACATTAGGAAGCCTTAGTCTTCTTGAGTGCAGATCATCCTGAAATGCTGCATTGGGAGGGGCAGCCACTTAGGTTCACATCTTCTTTCTCTGGTATATCTTTGCAGTATGACTTCTCCTTGGAAAAGAAAACCATTGAGTGGGCTGCAGATATTAAGAAAATCCAAGAAGCCCAGCGGGAAGCAGAGCGGAAGGCTGAAGAAGCAGACGCTAAAGTGAATTCTAAGAGTGGCCCAGAGGGCGATAACCAAATGAGCTTCTCCAAGACTCACAGTACCACCGCAATGCCACCTCCCATTAACCCCATCCTTGCCACCTTACAGCACAACAGCATCCTCACCCCGACTCGGGTCAGCAGCAGTACCATGAAACAGAAAGTTCTCAGCCCACCCCACACAAAGGCAGATTTCAATCCTGCTGACTTTGAGTGTGAAGAAGACCCATTTGATAATCTTGAGTTAAAAACTATTGATGAGAAGGAAGAACTGAGAAACATTCTGGTAGGAACCACTGGACCCATTATGGCTCAGTTATTGGACAGTAACTTGCCTAGAGGCGGCTCTGAGTCTGCGTTACAGGATGAAGAAGTCCTGGCATCCTTGGAGCGGGCAACACTAGATTTCAAGCCTCTTCATAAACCCAATGGCTTTATAACCTTACCACAGTTGGGCAACTGTGAAAAGATGTCGCTGTCTTCCAAAGTGTCCCTCCCCCCCGTACCTGCAGTAAGCAATATCAAATCCTTGTCCTTCCCCAAACTTGACTCTGATGACAGCAATCAGAAGACAGCCAAGTTGGCAAGCACTTTCCATAGCACATCCTGCCTCCGCAATGGCACGTTCCAGAATTCCCCAAAGCCTTCCACCCAAAGCAGTGCCATTGAGCACAGTGGGCATCAGAGTCTTGGGCTTTCAACTTTGAACTTGGACAGTGGCACAGAAGTGCCAGCCCTGACCCCTTCTGATATGAAATCCCAGATGCCTTCCCTCTCTGTCTTGTCTGTGTGCACAGAAGAATCATCACCTCCAAATACAGGTTCCACGGTAAGTAAGTCTTAAATCCCCCTAAGCTAAAGCTCCAAAGAGTTTTAAATTCTATTTAGCAGTTGACATCCTCACATTCTTTTCAAGGTGTAGGGCAAGATGGGCATGGCCAAATGGACCTTGCTTATACTATAAGTATATGTAGTTCTGGTTTTTCCTGAGGAAAGGATTATTAGCTCTCCACCTACCCTGGTTGATGTTGGCTTGTTCCTGCCTGCATATTTTGGTGTTTTCCTGCCTAATCAATTTCTTTTCTGTGCTGCATATCTTGTGTTTGCATTTTTTTAAAGGCTTTCTTTTTTTTGTATCCTTTAACTGTTTCGTATTGCCTTCTATTTTTAAATATATATATATTTTATTGCCGAAGCCGGTTTGGCTCAGTGGTAGAGCGTCGGTCTGCGGACTGAAAGGTCCCAGGTTCGATTCCGGTCAAGGGCATGTAAATTGGTTGCGGGCACATCCCCGATAGGGGGTGTGCAAGAGGCAGCTGGTGGTTGTTTCTCATCGACATTTCTAGCTCGCTCTCTCTCTCTCTCTCCCTTCCTCTCTGTAAAAAATCAATAAAATATATTTTTTTTAAAAAATATATATATATATTTTATTGATTTTTTACAGAGGGGAAGAGAGAGGGATAGAAGAGTTAAAAACATCGATGAGAGAGAGAATCATCAATCAGCTGCCTCTTGCACACCCTCACTGGAGATGTGCCTGCAACCAAGGTACATGCCCTTGACCGGAATCGAACCTGGGTCATTTCAGTCCGACGCTCTAGCCACTGAACCAAACCGGTTTTGGCCCTATTGCCTTCTTTGTTTTTTGTTAAGATTGCTTGGTACTCTTCATTATATCTTTTCCCTACCTCATTCTGTCTTGAAATTTATGTGTACCATGGTTCTGCCAGTTTGTGGTGTTTCTCCAGACTGGGTGTTGCTTTAGTACCTGGGAGATAATTTGTATTGGAAGTCCAAGAAAAACATAGACATTTGTTACTTTAAACCCAATGGTTTTAATGGTGCAATTCCTTTTTTTCTTTCTCTGCTAAGAATTTTGCAGTTTTCTCCAAAGGGAGTGAGAGGGGAAGGTGGGAATTTAGATTTAATGTTGAAGTATGGGTTGATAAAAGAGGTGCATCTTGTATCATCTTTTAGAAAATCTGGTTTTGTCACATACACAAAAGTTTCATGTGCGGTGAGCTTACTTTGTCACAGAGTATATGCTTAGCTCTTGATGTGGTTGTTTCGACAACACAGAATAATACATTGTTGCATTCTAGGATAGAAACCATGGAAGTCCAAGAACCTTCTGCTGTACAGTCCACAGATTCTTAAAATGACAGCCTATCAAAGACAGTATTTAGAGCCAGAAAGGAGCCTGATTGTATTGTTGGGCTATCTCTCAGACACCATAAGAGGCCTGCTATTAGTTGGTCAAAGGATGAGCCTTGGCCTGCACAGTGAGAGTAAGTTCCCAGCAATAGCATTCTTGGTAAATTATTGTCTCTGTGTCAGTGCTTCTATTGTCAGCTCACTGCTGCTTATAAATTTCCATGGGCCCTAGCTGGTTTGGCTCAGTAGAAGGAGTGTCCACCCTTGGACTAAAAGGTCCCAGGTTCAATTCTGGTCAAGGGCACATAACCTCAGTTGCAGAGGCAACCAGTTGTTATATCTTTCTCATATTGATTCTTCTCTCTCTCTCTGTCTCTCCCCCACTCCCTTTTACTATCTCTAAAAATCAATGGAAAAATATCCTTTGGAGAGGATTCACACAAAAAGAAAAACTACACAAGTACTCTGGTGCTACCTTCTAGGAATGGGCTTTTGTACTAATTCCTCCTGGTTCATTATTGGGCTGTGGTCAGCAGGGTACTCCTTCTGATATACTGTGTGTGTGTGTGTGTATAATTTAAAGAGAAATCCAGGTCCTCAGAGGAGACTTTAGGGGGCACTCTGTTGGCTCCCCAGGACAGTATGTCTTTAAAAAAATTTTAAATTTTTTTTGTTGATTTTAGAGAGGAAAGGAGAAGGAAATAGAAACATCAATATGAATCATTGATATGCTGCCTCCTGCACACCCCCTACTGAGAACTGAACCTGCAACCTGGGCATGTGCCCTTGACCGGAATTGAACCCAGGACCTTTCAGTCTGCAGGTGGAACTCTATCCACTGAACCAAACTGTCTAGGGCAATTTACTATATATTTTAGAAATTAAATGCACTCTGGGAAATATTAGGGTTCCTCAGATACTCCCCTTAAAGTTGTAGCAACCATTTAGATGAACTAATGACAGCTCTTTCTCAAACCAGAATACTCATCATTCTTTGATCCATCTGATGGTGAAGTTTCTTTTAGATCCATTCGTTTTAGGGTGGGAGGGGCACTGTTTCTTGCTGGCCTGAGGACTTGCTGCCTTCAAGGGCCCATAGAAACAAAACTGTTCTCTAAGGAAGTCATGACCCTTACCCTCAGAGAGCAAAGCCTAGTTTCCATCCTGGCCCTCTCTCTTAGTTATAAGTGTTTGAAACCCACTATGAGAACCTTTCTCTGTGAGAGAAGCTCTTTTCTCTAAGATAGTGACTTGAGGCCAGAGGGAAGTGATGGTGTGGTCAACAGGGCTGTACACTCACTTCACTTAGGAACTCCCAGGGAAGTATTCCTGGAATTTGGTTCTTGTTGGCTATTTTAGGCCCAATGTTTGGGTCTTAGTTTTCAGATTTTGACTTCATGTTTTAGTGTTTATATAAACTAACCTTAATAGTTGAGAAATCCATGGGATTATCTTGAGAGAACAAGCTTATTATGTGCCTTTATTCTGAGTCAGTATAAAACTGCCTGACTTAACTCTAGTCAGTGTCTCTTCCCACTATTCTTGCTGATAGTTAAACTTCACTATAGGTTGAAAGGTAATTGGCTTTGAGGGGAACTCTACAAAATGTTAACAGGTGAAGGTCTTTGTGGCTGCTATAATTTCTCCAGAGAATTGTGCTTGAGGGCTAAGGAAGCTTGGGTAAGGCTTCTATCGACTTTTATTTAATCCCCATTTTTGGTTCTTGTCTCTCTCTGCTGTATGCTATGCCTGGTGTCTTAACCTTCTTTTTGTTGTTTGGTTCTCATTTTCTAGAGACTAAACGGTGAAGATGGGTGGGAAAGGCATTTATTGCCTGAGGTTTTTACTGCTCTGAGCACTCATTTTGGGTTCTTGCTTTATTCCATCAGTACCTCTTGCTTCCAAATACTGAACCCCTCTCCTGTCTCTCACTTGTAATTGCCTTTTAGCTTCAGATTTTTCCCTGTTTCGTTTCTTTGACATTAAAGGTTAATAGTTTTCATTGTTTTATTATTTTAGTAGGCTTTGGGGAGGATCAGTGTTAGTTTGCTGTTAAAATGAAATTTTAATATACTTCCGTTTTTCAACTGATGATCAGACCATGTGTCAAGCCCATATAGCGAGGCCCTCAGGATTCAGAAATGCCTGGTAACCTCTGGGAGCTCACTAATATAGTTTGATATGAAAAGTACTGTGCCACCACTGTGTTCAAAATACTATTTGGCTGTTGGTATTCTGGTGCCCAGGCAGAGTCTGACCCTGGAGAGACAATCTTGGGGCGTGCAAAAGTGGCCAGATTAGTGTGATCCAGTCCCCATGATCTGTGTATTGACTCCTATAACCTAATGACTGAGCCCTGTGCCCGTGGGTTAAATGCTTGAGTGGAAACAATGGATTTTGAGGCCTGTAATCTTGGCTTTTTCTAGCTGACTTTGAGAAGAGCATCTGGTTTTAGCTCTATAATTTTGAACTTGCTTGTAGGACAGCAGACTCCCTGTCTCCTAACCCCATAACCACATAAAAAATAAAGAAACATTTGTTGAAACATTTTTCGTGGTTCTTGGGAGATGGGCCAAACTGCAGAACAGCTAGTGACCTTGTTCCCATGGTAGTTTGGTCCTTTGGCCTTCATGCCTTGGGCCTGAGTCATTATCAGAAGTGATGGGAGGAGTTAATTGTGGGATTCTGTCCAACAGCGAAGACCGGGTTAGTACGATTGGGTGGCAGGGAGCAGGCTGCCTGTAGTCAGAGCATTCCACATTCCAGTCCTTGAGGCACAGCCTGGGGTGGCTAATATTCCTTCAGCCCTGGCTCTGTAAGGACAGCAGCTCTAGCAGGGAATCGAAGCATAGTGAGGGGCAAAGATGGACTACCCTCAAAGCTCTGGGTCCCTGAGCTGGCCATGTGTGAGCAGACCAGTGAAAGAAATGAGGATAGAGACCTTGTTGGAAGAGGCAGCTCCAGACTTTGGAGCTCTGGAAACAAACCATAGCAGCCAGCTTGGGCTTCAGTCCTGTGGGTAGTCTCAGAACTTCAGGCTTGGAGGATTTGGGTATGGAAGGACATGTGTTTCTCGTGCTTTCTCATTCTGCAAGGTGGGGTGGGGTAGAGGACAGCCGCACTATGTCTTGCCAGCTTCTCTCTCTGTAGCTGGAGCTCCCCTACCCCTCTTCATTCCTCTTCAGGACGTCTGCCCAGCAACCTGGCCCTTTCTCCCAGGTAGTCTGCTTCAACCGGGGCTTTGATTAGAGTCAAAAGTGGCAAACACCTAAACTGGGTCATTTCAATAACATGTCTTCTGGGGTCCACATCTTCTTGCCTTGATCCTCTTGTTTCTCCTCCACTAGGCCACACCTCCTAATTTCTCAGTGTCACAAGTGCCCAACACTCCCAGCTGTCCCCCGGCTTATTCTGAACTGCAGATGCTGTCCCCCAGTGAGCGGCAGTGTGTGGAGGCGGTGGTCAACATGGGCTACTCCTTTGAGTGTGTCCTGAGAGCCATGAAGAAAAAAGGAGAGAATATTGAGCAGGTGAGCATTTGGTTGGTGGGGAAAGGAAGGTGGGGAGGTGTGTGATCAGCCAGAGATGTTCAGTCCTCTGGAGCTGAAGTAGTATCCTGCCTCTGTTTGGAGCCCCTCAGACTTACAGCATCAATGTCTGTTCCTGTGAGTTTGGGGGATTCAGGCACTGTCTTGGGGGAAACCAGCAGCAGTGTTTCTGCTTTGGGGCTGCTCTGGAACCTAGGCTGTAGGAAAGTCTTGGGAGTATTGGAGCTGTTGGACTGTTATCCAACTCCTCTCCCTCTTCTGCTCCTCCTGAGAGAGCATCCTAGGGTTAAGTTATGGTCAGATTTCTTCCAAAAATTTTTATCGTGTCATAGTTGCCCAGGGAGTTCCAAAATAGGGTACCAGAGTCTTAAACCTTGGATGCATTTTCTGACTCGAGCCATTTCTTTTTAAAAATAATTCTTTATTATTGAAATGATTACTATATGTTCCCCCTTTTCCTCCCCATTGACCCCCTCCAGTTCTCCCCAGGCCCTCACCACCCCATTTTCTGTGTTCAGGGCCATGCATATATGAATACAACACCCACGCCTTCTCCCGGAGATTCCACACTGTGTTCCATACTTCCATGTCTCTGGAGCCACTCCATTCATCAGTTTATTTTATTGCTCAGATTCTACATATGATGACTTGAGCTATTTCTTAGAGGAATACCCTGACCAGGCTGTGGAGTTTATGTTCTAGAACTGTGGTCGGCAAACTGCGGCTAGCAAGCTAGCTATTTGTGGCTCTTTGGCCCCTTGAGTGTGGCTCTTCCACAAAATATCACGGCCTGGGCAAGACTATTTTGAAGAAGTGGCCTTAGAAGTTGTTTAAAAAATTTGGCTCTCAAAAGAAATTTCAGTCGTTATACTGTTGATATTGGCTTGGTTGACTAATGAGTTTGCCAACCACTGTTCTAGGAGATATGAGTCAGCTATGACAGGAATTCGTTTGAAAAATGGCTACTCATGTTTTGAAGGGTGTGCCCGTCTGTTCAGCAGATAGTCACTGAGGTCCTGTTGCGTTGAATACAGTTCAAGGCACAAAATCAAATCCTGTCCAGGATCTAATAGCCAGGTTTGGGAGATGTCACACTTGCTGGCTTGTGTAAGACTCTTGGGAAACAGATAGGAGTGGCAGTAGGTGATTAGACTTCTTGGTTTTTTCCCCCCTTAGATTCTCGACTATCTCTTTGTACATGGACAGCTCTGTGAGAAGGGCTTCGACCCTCTTTTAGTGGAAGAGGCTCTGGAAATGCACCAGTGCTCAGAGGAAAAGGTAGGAAACTTCATGCCCTCTGGAAAGAAGAAACAATATAATCTGGGGTTCCCCTCAACCCACAGTACCCTTTCCCTACCAGTGACTGCAAGCAGAGACAGTTGAAGCACAGAATTTCCGAAATGTCCAGATACGTTAGCTTTGTTTGGCTCAGGTGAAACGTTGGGTTGAAGACGATATCTGGAATTCCAGAGAAGGGAAGGAGAAAGTGATCTGGACTTACAAAGCGTACTTTTGGATGACTGGGAAGATTGTTAGTCACTGCCTAGCCTGCTTCTGGGTTCAGTAAATTGCCTTGGTGGAACTGTGAATGTGGGTGGTGGGAATGGAACAAAGGTTAGTAAGAGTTGGCGCTGTGGCATCAAGCTATCGGTCCCAGCTTCTTCCATAGCCCTACCCTGCGGGCAGCGGTTGCCATTCGGTGGTCTACAGACCACTGGTGGTCTGTGAGGTCCGAAAGGTTGGCGACCACTGTGCTAGGGGACCTCAGAGAGGCTCAGGTGGCTTGGTGAAGGATACAGACCCCCCCCCCCCCCCCCAAACAGCCCCCTATACGTATATTTCTCCACTCCGCTGTGTGGCCAGACCCCTTCCTTTAATCTGTACTCTCTTCTGTCCCTTAGATGCTGGAGTTTCTTCAGTTAATGAGCAAATTTAAGGAAATGGGTTTTGAACTGAAAGACATTAAGGAAGTTCTGCTCTTACACAACAATGACCAGGACAATGCTTTGGAAGACCTCATGGCTCGGGCCGGAGCCAGCTGAGACCAGGCCCTGCCTAAACCCTGCCACGGAACCACCCCTGCAGGAGGCCCTGAGCAGCCCACCTGTGGGGAAGGAGAAGGGGCACATGTCCAGATTTTCTTTTGGGGGAAGGTCAGATGTGGAGACTGTCTGCCAGTCTCTATGAGCCTAGGCCCTGAGCTGGGGAGAAATGGGGGAATATTTGGGCATGTGAATGCCCTTAGAACTGTCCTGGCTCCTTCCGTATTAAATATATTTGTATTTTGAGAAGTGTCCTTCCCACCGCGGCCCCCCAGAGATGTCTCTGGTTTTTCTGGCATATGCCCTTAGCTGAAACCTGGGCTGGCTGCCAAAAGGAGCCAGGGACAAGCTGCAGGAGGCCCAGACTCAGTGCTGCTTTGGGGCTAGTTGCTTCCCTCCCCCGCATTGGTGGACTGAACTGTACTACAGGTTGAGTGCAATTGAAAGGTTCTTCCAGGGTTTTATTTTCCTCCCTTTTAACAAAGTCTCTTAGTATTACACTGGTTCTGCAATGTCACTGAGGTGCAAAGAATGCCCTTTTTCCCATGGGGCCCTGAGTTTGCCTCTTCTGCCAGGCAGTTACCATGCTTCCCTGACCCCGCCTGTTTCTTTGGGCTTGGATTGGACCACAATCCTCTGGGGGCTACCAGGATTTTAGAGCCCCCTGCTCTAGGAAACAGTTGTCACATTAAGAAATCATTGGCCCCTTCCCAGCACACTGAGCTGGGGAGAATGGGCTATGATTTAGTTGCCCAGCACTAACTCCACCTCCGTTCTCTTTGGAGAACAGCCTCTCCCCTGCTCTAGGATGACACAATGAATAACAGCTGTCATAGAAATCAGTCTCTGGTTTGTTTTGTATTATGCTGTACATCATTAAATATCTAAATACGAAGGATATACAGTCTTGATGAATCTAAAGTAATTTGCTAATAACTATTTTGATTCTTCAGAGAAAACTAATAAAAATCTAAAAAGTATGTCCCGCTATCAACTCCTTTATTGCTAAGGGCTATTTTATGTGTGTGTGAGAGTTTCCTGCTTAGATTTGCTTGCTGGGGATGAAACAGAACCTAACCACTTTGTCACTTCAATACTTTCTTCCTACTCTAGGCCTGTGAGACCCAGGAGCTGGCCCTCCAGTTTGCCCTGGTTTTGGTTCACAAAGGCAGGCCGAGAGTAAGACCTGTTTAAACCTGACCTAGCTTGGTCTCTGAACCAAGGACATATGCCTTCCTGTGAGACTGGCTGTTGAGGTGAGACAGGCTGGGGCGCTGGGCCTTTGGGGTAATTTACCCAGAAATGAGGAAGAAGTCCTCCTTCCTGTGATCCCATTTATATACTCTGTGCCACAGGTAGGACTGGATGTAAACTGTTGCACCAGCTCTCTCAGTGGTGCTGTTGTAGCGGATAGAACTAGATTTATCCCTAAAGTTTCTTTTCCTTTTACCTAAAATTGTCCTATAGTCCCTCTTGTGCTCTTGGGTGGAGGTGGGTTTAATTCTTTTAATGATCACTTAAGGGACTGCAGAGCCTTTGGGCCAGGAAGCATCAAAGTGGAAAGAGGCTGCCCCCTTGTGGTCAGATCAGGCGTGGCCAGAGGTTGACAAGTTGACAAAAGGTAGCAGGGCTATAGTCTCAGAAAGCCAGCTAGCCCCTCTTCTTTTGGCCTTTAAAAATTAATTAAGCCCCCCTTTTAAAGCCATTAAAAATTATTCTTTACCTGTAGCAACTAAAACTTTCACAGTATAATTTTTCAGGGCCAAGGCTGTGACACACGAATCTTGATCTGACCCATCGTGGCCTTGGCAAATGATGACCACCTGGAGGCCACTTTGCATTTCTTGTCTTAAGTTTCTTCCTGCTAAAATGATAGCAAGCAGAAGACTGTGTAAAAATTCTGCTTCAGAGTCTCAGACTGTTGACTAAAATACTCATTGCCAAGATACTGAACACAGGCTATTTTGAGAAGGGGGAGTAGAGCAGGGTTTTCTGGATGAAGGTGAGCTAGGAGATGGACTTGCCTGAGAACCACCAGCTCTTCAACTGTTCCATGAGTGGGTGTGGTGGGTGAGGAGTCTCAGATTGGAGGCAGGGAATGCCAACAGGATTATGAGGGCTTTTGGGGCTTGTAAAGGCTGACATCCCAGCAAAAGGCAGAGTTGGACAAAGAACTGGATTGCAGAAAGGGAGAACCGAAAGCATAAAGTCTGTCTCACATCTTCTGCTGTTAAAGAAAGACACAGCAAGTCAAAGTTTATTCATTTTACATTTCAAAAGCCAACTTAACCCCCAAATAATGGGGCAGAGCTCACCCTGCCTCTGCCCCACTAGTATCAATGTTTTCGTTTTTGGCTCAACAACAGGCACAGAACCCACCTGATAAAGCTCCTGGGCTGAGCATGTTATCTTCCCCAGCTTGTAACCTCTGGCCTGTAGGTTTCCACTGACCACCCATACTCTTAGTTTCAAATTCAGAAACATCTATAGGGTTGTCACGTGTGTTTCTACAGACAAGGGGTTAGTAAGACAAATTCTCTTCCAGCCTCAAAGAAAAGTGAGGCACATAAAGATGCTCCAGTACTTGGAACTGAAGGATAGAGGCTTGTCCCTGAGAGAGGAGCAGGGGCCCAGCCAAGGCCCCGTGTGGCTGTGGAGAGACAAGCATGGGCAGGACCAGGGAGGGGGTTCTGATATCTGTATGATCTGGCAGAAGCCCCTTCAAGCCCTGAGAACCTACGCAGGCTCGGGCTGCCCCCACCATCCCATACTGGATCTTGCTCTAAGACACCACTGTCCTCTCAGGGGCCTCAGACAGCCTATGGCAGGCCAGGTATAACTGCAGCTGGTTCCTCAGACTCTGGATGCACTTGGACTTCAGAACCATGATTTCATCCAACTGGGTGACAAAATCTTCAAAATCCTGAGATAGGAAACAAAGGACAAATGGTGCTGTTGCTGGACCTCTCCCAGACCTGCTTTTTTTCTTGCAGGAAAACTTCAGAGCCCAGGCCCTCCAGCTGGAAAACCTGCAGCTTAATTCCTATGGCACAGGGTGGGTCCCACTTCTCTGCATTTGGGACACTTTATATACAGACGTATTTTTCAGGGTAGCGGGTGTTTTTGCAGAGAAGTACTAGTCTGCAGGTGGCTCACGGTTACTGTCACAAGGAGGGCCCCAAGAAAGCCACTGGGAAGGCAGAACGGTGAAGGGTAGAGGCCAGAAACATTTTAGTCTGGAAAGGGAGTGGAGCATCATCTCCCGCCTGTCCTTGCACTCCCTGAAGCTATCCCAGAGGAGTGCAAGAGGAGGCCCGAGGCCTCAACAATGGTTAGCGTGTGGCGCAGACGCCTACCCCACATCTAACCACGGCAAACAAAGCTGACTATCATATTACTACAGACTAATGGCCACCCGCCCCTGAGTGTCCAGCCACGGTCACTTACATTAGGAGCCAGCTGGCTCATCAGCGTCTCCTCTTTGAAGCCCAACTCGGCCATTTCATCCAGCTGTTCCTGGTGTGCTCGGATGACCACCTGCCTGGGAACACCAGAGGGGATGCTGTGAACCTCGGCCTCCCATCTCTCCTGGGTAGCTTTTAGGAGCTGAGCCCCATTTCCAAGCCAGGAGCTGGCGCTACCCAAAGTGGTCAAGGCTTTGACAAGGACCCACTCACCCGACCTTCTCCCCTCTCACCTGTTCTCAGGACTTGTCAAGAGACTAGGAAATACCAGTGAGAGACGGGGCTTCTAGAGTTGTCCCCTACCTCCCAGGTACACTAAGCTTCTCTGCAGAAAGGATCAAGGTAGTGCCACTCCAGCTGGCATACTTGGCACAAGGTAGAGCCTGCTGTCTAGCCTACTGTCATTTCTACTTCTGGGGGGGTCCAGGACCAAAACATGAGTATTTGACCTAGAAGCCAGGGGATCTGCCTTTTGCCAGACCGTAGAGATGAGTAGAGACCATGGAGACAACCAGATTGTCTACCAAGGAGAGGCAGGCCCCCCTCCCCTGTATGCCTCTGTCCATAGCCCTGGCCTGAGCATCTGCGAGTAGCAGACAGCTGGCCTAGGTAATAGGAGCCCCAACAAAGGGCTGTATCCTATAAAGGAAGTACTTGTTCACCCTGCCCTCCAGCTCTGAGGCTTCTGATACTGTGAGGGCGTCTGCTAGATCTTCCACCTCCTTTCTTTCACATCCTCTGAGGCTGCTATCTCATCTCTCCTGCACCATCCACACACAGTATCCTTTGGGGCAAGCAGCACAATGACAGCCCCACCCCATTTTTACTTTCCCTATCTTGGGAGGTACCCAACCTGAGCTTTGAGGGCACGACACCACAGCTAATGGGTTGCTGGGCAACACTTCTGGGAACACAGACCCAACAGAATGAAGAGGATTCTGATCTCACCAGAGGCCATAGGCCTGCTTATGGGGACAGGTCCTCCCCTCTCACATCTGTTTTCCCAGGCAGAGGGTCCACCCACCCTGGTAGGCCTGCTCCAATACGTTTTATTCCTATCAGGTGCATCTAGATAGATTTCCTTGAAAAGCCTTTCTCTGGCTGCAGTATAGCTCTGACACAGCTAACCATAGCCATTCCCAGAATAGGTAAAACATTAAACTGGGGTGGGAGAGGGTGCCAAAGGAGCTCAAGTCTCAGGGAGAGAGTCCAACTTACTGTGCATGCCCCAGGGTGGGCTGATGCAGTGTCCCGGCAGTCTTGGGAGAGCAGCTGGGAACCAGGGGAGACCCTGGCCTTGCTAAGCACCTTTGGATTGGCCTATGTTTGAGCCAAGAGATGTCCTCATTGTAACAGGGCAACTTGATGGAGTCTATGGACAAATCCAGCTCCTGCCAACCGAGCCCTGCCAGATGCTTTCTCTCCTGAACCCAGGGCTGCTCAGCCACACCACTGCTTCCTGTTTGTGGGGTGGGTGCAGGCTCACAGTGGGGTCGTCCTGCATGTATGGTGGGGAAGGGCTCTCCTGAGAAACCCTGGGAACTGTTCAGTTCTGCCTCCTCGGCACTGGCATCGTACTGTTCACTAGCCACATGCTTCAGGGAGAGAAGTGCAGTCCCTCTGCTCTGGTTGGCCTCTCCCAGGTCAGCCTCCCTGCTGGGCAGCTTGTCAGGTGGGTACTGACGGATGGGTGATGGGGACAGGGCTGGCAGATCAGCACCAGGCTTATTGTCAGGGGGAGATGATGAGAGCCACAGGTGCCCACTTGTCAGAGACATTGGCAGGACTACCTCTTGGTCACCAGATGGCACTGTGTGGCCCACAGCTGGCCCCCCTGTGCCCGCCAGGCTGTGTGTAGCCCCGTCCTGGGCTGGCTGGTCCGAGGGAGGAGGGCCCTCGTCGTCGGGGTTCTCCAGGAGGGACACGGTGAGGGGAGCCATCAGCCCAGAAGCAGATTCAGAGCACATGCCCAGCTCCTCCTGAGAGTCTTCTCCTCGGAAAGGATGACTGGTTTTCATGGTTCTGGAGGCCACATTTAGACTGGCTTCACCGAGTTCCTTCAGAGGTATGCCGACTGTGTCCCTTTGGTCTGGGGACCCAGCAACAGCCATGAGGGAGAGTGAGGAAGTGAAATCCTCTTCCTTCAGGGATGGTGAGCTGCCCTCAGCCTGTCCAGGAACGTCACTTCTGAAGGCATCCTGTTTGAAATCCGAGGCTGAGCCACTGCCCCTTTTCTGGTTATAAACAAAGTCTCCCTGTGAGCAGTAAGGCTTCTCTGCCAGTGTGTCCCTGGGAGAAGGCCCTGAGGAGGAAGAGTCCTCCTCTTTGCTCCAATCCAAGGGCACTTTACTTGGGCCGTGGCCGTGATCACCTGCTGCTCTTTTGTGGCTTGTGGGATTCCTGGTGTACATCCAGCTTCCAGTTAAATTCTCATCACCCTCTAACCTGGGGCTGAAAAGCAGACTCTGCCGCCTTTCAGGACCTGGTTCTCTCTGATGAAGGAAGAATGAGCCTTC